ACATTACAATTATAGTAGTGAATAAACTAATTTTTGGTTAACCAAGAAATAAAAATAGTTGACTACCTCTTAAAATTAGATCTTCCACGTTTCAAGATACGTAGAAGCCTAAAATGGAATAAAAAAAAATCTGATCGTCCGCCGTCCGCTGTACGCCTTTTTTATTTCAGTACTCCTCTTTCTCGCATTATAAGCTATACGGGATTTTCCCCAGATCAGAGAATGAGGGCGGGGAATTAATGTCAAGTTAAAAGACTCCTTGGTATCGGGAAGCGAACACGCAATTATTTTATCGCTTGTAACTTCGGTTGTCAGTTGCCGGACAACGCGCGGTGCTGTGCACACACACATTAGCTTTCTTGGCCAGCCCGCTCCTCGCTGTACACCATATGCCGTCCACAGTTTTTCTCCGAGACTACCTGATTTTTTTGAGATTCCGTATCAATGTCGAAGGGCACAAGAGAATGATCCTCGGAACTCGGCCTTACCATCCGCCCAATATAGCGGCATTAAACCTGTATCGCTATAGACTGTAGCGTCTAAACGAATTTGACTATTTCAATTTAAGTGTCCTCATTTGGAGCCCTTTAAATCTATCTACATAACATATTTCATCGAAAGAAGCTGGAAATAAAGTTACGAGAGGTGGTAAAATTAGATTTTCCAATAGCTCAAAAAGTATACACTTTTTGTAATACAGAACATTACAAAATTTTTAAAAGATATATTGTTATAAAACTCTTCTCTACATTCTTTGTTTTTATTTTTTAAAGGTTTTGCATCAAATAATCAGTTTAGAATTTTGTTTCTATTTCTTAATAAAATTTTAATGATTAAAAAAAAATATTAAGGTCTACATTAGGAATAAATTTTTAAATACTTTCTTGTATGGGTGAAGGAATGTAGTTTTACTTATGATATAAATCTGTTCGGAAATAATAAACTGTATGTGTAGTAATTTGCAGCATTTTTGTTTAGTATCCGCAAAGTAATAATATTTAGAATATATACATATATAATTGTGAATGCATTACTCTAAAAAACTTTGCTCTGGCTGATCGTCATTTGTATCATACTCTAAAAATAGGTTTATGATAATTAAAATATGTGAGGAATATTTTTGATTGAAATCTATTTGTTAAAAATGTAACAAAAACTACATAATTTTTATATTATAACTTCTGTTACGGGGATTCGTAATTTTTCACATGTGTAGCGAGTGGAACAGAAATAGAAACACATTATTTCTTATTTCACATTTTATTGCTAATTAAAGAAAACATGTATATTGACTTATGCAGATTGGTTTCTGAATTGTCCACGGTATTAAAATTTTGAGATTTTTTAGTCCAATACAGTCGTTATTATTTGGCTTTAGGTGAGAAAAAAAAATTATATTTTTACTAACTAAAGAAGTTTTCATTTTAAAAATCATCCCGCGAATTGATTAATTAAAATCCAAATACTAATTTTTAGAATTCTTCGAAAACTCTAGAAGGATCTCATGGAACAATTTAAGCTATCAAACTTAAAAATCGGTCCAGCTGTACGCTTATGAATTTATACATACCTTTTAGCATACAATCCAAACACATAACACTCCGTATTGCGTTGGGTAATTAAATAGATTCTTACTTAAAAATCGATTAACAGTTTGAGAAAATAGACATACTGAGGATCAAATAAAAGCAATTTAATATTTAAATTTACTATAAATCTTTCTCAATGTAGATCAGACTTTTGATCGAATCTGGCACCTCGCACTGCTTCAAAAATTTCATATATTCCTAATCCCTACATACACTCTCATTATCAGTTCCAACTCTACAAACAGATTCTAAGTTAACCATAATAATTAGCGTTGACCGTAATAATTGGTCTCACAAAAAGTACAATTAGGACTGATTCGGCTTAATTGTTGCCCATGACCAAGATAAATCAAAAACAAAAAGAAAAAAAAAAACGTTTTTTATGGGATGGTAAGCAAAATAATATAGAAGGATTTTGGATTAAAAAAATAAAATAAAGATATACAGTTGTTTTTTTTTTAATCAAAATAGTCTCCTCTACTTTCAATACATTTCTGCAAACGTGTTGGCAACTGATTCATTTCCCCGGAATAGAATTTCCCATCTTTATATCGGCAGCAATTTGAGCGCACGGCATGAGCAATACAAGGGCGGGAGAGGTGTAACAGAGGGGCACATCACATCTAATTCAGAGACGTCGTTACAAATTGAATCTAGCTATGGCCTCTTTTCGATAGATGTGGATGCTGAAATACTGCTACTTCACCTCGAGTACGAATCCGACGAAGAAAATAATATACAAAGGTTGCCTTCAGTATTATTTAGAAAACAAAAGGGTGAGAAACCTCAGAATTTTTGGACAAAAAGGAACTAAACTTGTACGCAGAGGAGGCGTAGCAGAGGGAAAACAGAGCTGCAACATAGGATAAACAGAGGGACAACAGAGGAGCCATTTCAGAGCCGTCCCAGGGGGTGTAAGGCTGTCATAGGGAGGAGGTGGGGTGGCCGAGCTGGCTAACGCGTGTGCACAGCACCGCGCAACTGATAACCGAAGTTGGAGACGAAAAAAAATACGAGTTCGCGTCCCAGTGTCCAGGGGAGCTTTTAACTCTCGCATTTACTCCCCCGAACTCATCCCCCTGGTCCTGGAATATAAAAGACGAAGAAGGAGAGAAAAAAAAAAAAAACAGGACCGTGATGGGTACTCTGTTGTCTCTCTGTTGTGTTGTGTTGTGTTCACAGAATAGTTTCCTACGGCCTCTGTTCCTACCCTCTCCAGCTCGTGTTACTTTTCTCAAATATTCTGAAATGAAAAGTAAGGCAATTATTCTACCTTCGTTTTTCTTTTTAGCACATCTCCAAATAGTTAAAAAATAAATAGAGCTGCTCAACTTGAATCACCTGTTGATGAAATATAAGTTGAAAAATGCAAAAATTCGTATGATAATGGGAGTAAGTGGGAGTGTAATTTTCTCAGGGATTGATAGAATTGATCAAATTATACTTATGATGTTTATTATAATTTGGAATTACTACGAAAAGGGATTGAAAAATAACTGATAATTCATATTTTTCTATATTAAAAATAAAAATTACATATAAAAGTCTGGAGTAGGGGATACAATTGTATTTATTATTTGTTACTTAAATAAAAATTATTTGAAAAACGATGTAGGGAATATTTGTTCATTTGTTGTAAAAGTTAAAATTAACTGCAAACAAAATTATCTACACTGGCTTTCTCCTTATCTTTATATATTATATTATATTTACTAGATATGTTAAGTTTCCATCTTCTCGCCATTATCGGATTACCTAAAAATATGTTATTGCATTGTACCTATTCTGCAGCGTTTTTCTAAAATTTAAAGTAACATTGTTTAATGTATATCAATAATCTAGTAGGAAACTGCAAGACTTTTGCGAGACTCTTGCGCAGGACCATGACTCTTCTTGGGCAACACTAAAGCCCAATCATCCCTCTTTTCCCTGTATGCAGGTGTTCCACAAGATAGTATCCTCGGTCCTATACTTTAAACCAGGGGTCTTCGAGATACGGTCTAATCAGCCCGCAAGCACTTTTGATGCGGCCCGCAAAAGCTTCTTACGAGGTTACTGCAACACATAATATGTGTGTTTTTTTCTCTTAGAAAGCGTATTTCACAGCTGAAGTGTCATTTATAGCACATGATTATTTTTTAGCACATACCATGGCCCGCGGGACTTGGATAGAGGTCCCAATCAGAACCTTTTGGAGACCCCCCTGCTTTATACAGTTTACATAGCTGATATCCCAATTACCTAACACTGGAGAATAGTCACTTTGAAATAATTTTAACAGTATATAGACAACTAAATTCTATTTTAAATAATAGTCCGTGGTACTGGCCCCATTTTATAAAATTATTAACATCCACCTGAAACTTCGAATCCAACTGAATAGCTTCGTCCCATTATAACCTACAATTATTTTATTAATTTCCTATCTGGAAGTCGGCAAACTTTGTCTATTTAATTGGGTACTAAAAACTGGTATATATCCATTTTTGTTTCGCATTATTCGCATATTACATGATAAGGTAATTTGATCAAAATGATAAGATAAATCGAGAAAAATGGTAGCGTACAAAAATATTGGGCCATTAGGCCTACACAACCTCGTTATTTTCACATATTTGGGGTACAGCTAAACGGCTTAATATTTTTGAGGTCCACATTTTTTTCGAATTCGTGCTCAAATTATATCACGTTCAAATTATCTCAAATTCAAATGGAAAGAAAGTGAGTATTGACTAGTTTTTAGTATCTAATAGAGAAAGTGTGACGATATGCAGATTGGAAACGTCCCATTTCCGAGAATTTTGTAAATAAAATAGTTATAGGTTACGATGAGATGAATCTATTTACGAAATTTTCTGGCTAATAATATAATATGTTAATAATATTTAAAACTAAGAAAATACCAAACTTATGCTTTCACCTGAATAGTGTTAGAAACGGTCCAGTCATCTTTTTTTTTTTAATCTGATGCCAAGTTCAAGCTATATATCAATATTGACTAAAAATGCTAATAGTACTGAACAGCCATTAAATACTCGACGATAGTGAATCATCTGAATACCTAATCACACATTTAATTATGTACATTTCGAAAACCTTATTCGAGACATATAGTGCTGTCACCACTCAATTACCTATATTTTTTTTCGCAAAATTTCTAGAATTATATATATTTTTAAGGAATCATTTACTTATTTTTATTTGAATCGGGCTATATACAAGTTATATTTATAGAACTAATATTTGTGTGCTAATTCGAAACTCATAGCATGATCAAGATATGTATAATTTTGTAATTCGTTACATAATTACTTACTTCTGACAATCCACAATGAACTAGACTGTAATGGAACAATTAGTCCATTTTCTTGATGAATTTCACTGCTAGAAAAATCAAGTTAATGAAAAGAATTAAAATGAAAAACTTACCAAGTTCAGGAGATAGACATTGGTAACAGTCCTCATCCTCCTGTTTCTTGCCAGGGTAACGATGACTAAGGAGTTTCCAACAACTGCCAGCAGGAAAATCAGAATGTACAGAGGGATCATCAAACCGGAAATGCCACCACCACTTCCTCCTCCACTGCTGCCACCAGTGGTCGAGTTTTGCATCTGAAAAGGTAAAATACAAGAATTCTGAAAAATCTGACAGACAGTAATATAATTATTAAAAATATTATATTTCCATTTCTTCTCTGATCCAACTTGGTTATAGTTAAATAGAAACAATGTTCTTTAATTCTATACAATTTTCAAGAAAGTTGAGAAAAACAGTTCCTCCTTCCCTTCAAAACTTCATTTCCTCACAGTCTCAAAAAAAGTACTTGTCTGCCATCAGCATAAGATCCTTCTCCTCTTACAGCTCTCGATTTCAGACTTCTTTGTTAAATTTATCAAAGACTGTGAAGAGAATGGATTAATTATCAACGCATCTTCTTTCACGAGCTTGATGCTTAATTTCGTTCATACTAATCTGGTTTCTTTTCTTTTTATTCCATTAAATTGACTTTAAATTGGCTTAAAATAACCAAGAACTTTTATTCAATAACTTAAGGATATTATACGATAACCTGTAAATCATTTTCATTTATCTTTTAATATTTATCATACATTTAAATGTATTATATGCATCCAATATACGTCAAAAATAATACTTAATTCCTTTGAGATTGTTTTATAATTAATAAGTATTAATTACGAAATTATTAATTAGTTACGATATTGTTAATTAGATACGTAATCCAAAAGTAATTTAAAAAATCTGGTGCGCGCAACTCAAACTTACCCATCTACTTTGAAAAGAAATTATTTTCTGACAATGTTGGGCTTTTATAAAATTTTTGAAGTGCAATTTAAACTGATCTAAAGTTCAAAGCTTACAGATAACATCTCATTAGGACCATTAAAATTACAAAAAGTCTATTTATCATATCTACGGTAGGTAATAAAAAATAGAGGGTTTTTGATGACCTTATAATAAATAGGGGGAGGGGAGGAGGGGGTTGATGGCCCAAGTTGCGCCATCAAAATTGTTGAGGGGGGCATATTTTGACAGGTTTTTGAATTTTTGATGGGACCAATTTCGAAAGGGTTATAAAATATAAAAAATATAAAATATAATATAAATATAAAATAAAAAAATAAAAATAAATAAATAAAATATAAAAAATATAAAATATAATAGGGTTACGAAATTATTAATTAGTTACGATATTGTTAATTAGATACGTAATCCAAAAGTAATTTAAAAAATCTGGTGCGCGCAACTCAAACTTACCCATCTACTTTGAAAAGAAATTATTTTCTGACAATGTTGGGCTTTTATAAAATTTTTGAAGTGCAATTTAAACTGATCTAAAGTTCAAAGCTTACAGATAATATCTCATTAGGACCATTAAAATTACAAAAAGTCTATTTATCATATCTACGGTAGGTAATAAAAAATAGAGGGTTTTTGATGACCTTATAATAAATAGGGGGAGGGGAGGAGGGGGTTGATGGCCCAAGTTGCGCCATCAAAATTGTTGAGGGGGGCATATTTTGACAGGTTTTTGAATTTTTGATGGGACCAATTTCGAAAGGGTTATGCATTTTCGGACTAAGGGATAAGGAGAATTGTATTCGATTCAATAAAACACATGATTCACTTGAAAAAAAACACGAAACTTGTATTAGCTACTTTTCTGGTTAAAATTAGCCAATTGTTTATTTGAACTATTTTGTAGCCCTGGAGATCGGCTATTAATCCTATTAAAATTTCTTCTACTTACGGGTCACCCTGTATACGCGTTATTTATGTATTTCAAATAATTCATCAAAGCCATTTGAAATGCAAATGTAACCATCATTCGAACTGCTTGAACCTAAATTAATCCAGTGAAAAAAAGATAATTAACACAATTATCAAAATCAGTCTTAAGCAATAACCCAAAAAGGCATTGAGTTAGACCATAAATTAAGTAATTCTGGAACTATTTGTCAACCTGTGTGACTGAAGACCTGCTGGTCTAAACCTTCCTCTTAAGCGCTCTACTGTGGGTTTAAACGAACTTCGAAATTTTACTAGGCCACTTTTTAGGTCACCAATTATCTATAGAAAGTATGAAATATTACATTATTCATATTTTGAAAGTTGTTTTTGTCTTAGTAGATCGGCGATCGGCCTCTGTGGATCGTGGGCATTTCAAACTGGTTTGTTTCCAAACAGATTCTTCAAAACGACGGTTCATAATACCAGTACTAATTCTATGAAAAATAAAATAACATTAACATATAAAACGAATACAGAAAATTAAAAATAATGTGTTTGAAATATTAAACAATGAACTTAACCCTCCAAAACTAATTAATAAATGATAATACATTAAAGGTTACCAAACCAGGAATAAATATTGCAAAGCAAAATATATATTATATCAAATAAAACTGAAAGAAAACAATATAAAAAAGATGTTATACGTAAAGTAAAACGTATGTTATTAAATATCGTAGAATAAATAGAATAGAATTTAAATAGACTGGAATAACTTATAAGTAATGCTAAAACTATACACATCCCTCGCTAGAAGCAGTATTAAAACAACCATCAAGCTGATTTTGATGATAAAACATATTAAATAGTTTGGCCAATAATAGAAATAGAAATTGATTGGAATTAGCATACGTTACCAGATAAATAAGGCCTTTAATTTTAGATGTCTTATTAAAATTATAGTAATAAGCATGATCCTAATAATATATAAAATTTAAGTTTTAGTTTTTCTTTTAAATAACAAGTTTAAAATGGCCAATAAAGGATGAAATTAAAGAATATAATAAAGTATAATATTTTCAATGTTCAATTCCATTTAGTTACTGTTCGATCACGGTAATTTGGTGTGAGCCGAATATTACCCATCGATCTGTAAGTGAATTATGTTGGGCTGGTATTTTTGAAAATCGGTGGAGTGTAAGAGGTCGGATCACTGAGATTTGATGCTTGATTAAATAAAACAAAATATTAAGAACATGATTATATTGCATATAATTGAATAAGTAAAATAAATGAAATTTGTGCCTTTGCAAAAATTGTGTGGTTCATTACATATTGATGATTGTGAAATTACAATTTTAGTTTGATATTGTCATGTTAGAAGTGATTATTACTTGATTGAAATTGAATTGTCAATTTAGGCTAGCTTGCTGTCTGAAATTGAGCTTTATGGTTTTGGCCACTTCTTCTTCCTCTCCATACTTCCTCCACCAGGCTGTTCTCATAACGTTTAGCAACTCACATTATCTTCCTTGTGGTTTTTTAGGAGAGTACCTTACTGTTTGGACACTTCACCGAATGAACAGATTAACTCAAGAGCAATGGTTTGCAGCAAAATGGAATCCATAAAATGGTGGTGAAGTTCAGTATTGTATAGAATTATTTGTGTTGTCCCTACATATTTGCATTTTCATTAATGATTTTTTTACTGAATTTGAATTAATTATGGATTGTGTATCAAATAAATAATATTGAAACCAATATTTATTTCTTAGATCTCCTCGCCTAAATCAAAGTAATGACCAGGAAGAGGTACTGCTGGTTACCATCCATCCTCATGCATATAATGCCAAACTCATTATGCCAACAACACATCTGCTGATTGTCAATACGATGAAAGGTGCCGATAAAAAGTTAAAGATAAAAAAAAAAATTATTAATTGGAAAACATCCAAAACAATTTTGATAAAATAAAACTAATATTTAGTACTTATATCGGACCATATTAAACATGAAATGATGAACAAATTAGAAATCCGAGACGTGACGTTGCCACTTACGTGTTCAATGTAACCACGGTCTTAGCCACGATTGGTTCCACATCTACTCGACTTCCGACTTCCAAACTGTCAATATTCCCAATAAGCCTCCTCACTGTCAAAACTTCTCTTACCAAGTTTTCCTGAGGGATCGTTCCTCTCACCAAGTTTATTTTCCATTTATATTAAAAACCTACCAAACTTTATCCACCACTGCTAACATAATATACTTGCAAAGGACTTACAAGTATACATTTCCTTCCATATTTCCGTTATAATCGTGGCACTCTCTAAGCTCTTAGATGAAAATGACAGCATTAACTTCTGAGATTTTGAAAATATGTTGCACCTTGAACCACCAAAAAACAAGGATACTCTCACAGATTCTAAACTAGTGTTTAATGATTTTCAATTGTCTAGGTTACTACTACTAGTATTTCCTACACAGTTGGAAATCTAAAAAGAAATCCTCAGAGTTACCATAAATTAACATCAAGCATAGGGCATCTATTTTTACCAAATAACCCAAAAATCTATCAGCTCCTAAAATTCTACAATTTATAAAATACCATACATATTCTGGTAACCCTCCTAATAACCACCAAATTTGGGTAATGATGCCTTGATTATGGAGGAATGGGATGTAGGTCGAAGATTAAATTACATGAAATCGAATTATCAACAGACCGACGTTTTACTTTCCTATATATACGAGGTAAGGAAAGTATTTCAATCCTATTTTCTGAAAATTTCCGATGTAAGATTTTTACGTTTCAGAACCTCTGAACTCAGAAACTCTGAGTCCGAAAAATACATTATCAACTATTGATATGTCTGTCTCGACTGATTTTGTTGTTTCCTAATTTATTTTATAGGATTTAGACTACTGATGCCTATGACACAAATTGGGGGCTCTCGGTGCAATAGCGGCTACGCAATAAACGAAAAAAATATTTTCTATAGACTGTAGCGAAAAAACGGCTCTAACGATTTTGATGAAACTTTCTTATAATTTTCAAATAAATGTCCTTTCAATTATCGTGCATGTAATAAATTCCAAAGAAAATTCAGAAAAGAAAGTTAGAAGGTAATAAAATTCCTTACAAAACTATATAAAAATCGTTCTTTTTCAGACAACCATTACCGAAGTTATAGCTGTTCGATTTCTTATAGTTACGGAACGGATTTGATCCGTAACAAATAATAATATTAATATCAATTTACTTTACGTAAATCACGCTAATATTTATTAACTCAAGGGATAAAAGGACAAAGTTATCCCGACAGGAGAGACTAAACCAGTGATATAACAAATACATAAA